GACAGAAAAACAGGCAGCGGCAGTTCATGAAGAATCTATGGGCTGTAAAAAGCATAATTAGATCCTGAACAACCACTTCAGGCCAGGCACAGAGGCCCACACCTGTAATTTCAACACTCTGGGAGGCTAAGGAAGGAGGATCATTTGCATTCAGTAGTTTGAGACCAGCCTGAGCAACATAGCAAAACTCCACCTCTATAAAAAATAAAAAATTAGCACAGGCATGGTGGAGCATGCCTGTAGTCCCAACTACTTGGGAGGCTGAGGTGGGAGGATCACTTGAGCCCAGGAGGTTGAGCCACGATCGCACCACTGCACTCAGTCTGGGTGACAGAGTGAGACCCTGCCTCAAAACAAAACAAAACAAAATTTAAAACTAAACAACCACTTTGGCCTCTAAAATGATGACCTGGGTGTTGTAAAATCTAGTACAGCTAGATAGAGCTGGGCTTAGGTTAAGAACAGCCTCAGTGAGAGGTGACTTTCAGTTCTTCAATAGAGACATCCCAACCATGGGTTTCTTCTTCCCAATAAATCCCGCAAAGGATTACTGGCCAGGCTAGAACCTCTACTTCTCCTTGCTCCTTGAGCCCATTCCAAATACTTCCACTGGGCTCACACTGGTATATGGCTAGTATTATTTAATTTTAAAGGAGAAATTGAGGAGGCAGTGATTGGATATTAGAAACTGCATTATTAGATTCCATGTTACTGGTTTACATTACTCACTGTCACTATTAAAGTAAAACAAGGAGGCCAGACCAAATGACTTCCCGGGCTTGTCCAGATGATGGCTAGTCCAGGTTCTAACGTTCAAGTCCTGTGAAAGTTTCAGGCTAGGTTATTCTTCAGAAAAGACACGATGGCTCAATTGTTCTCACTGTCCTGACTTACTACTGCAGAAAGGGACCACAGAAGGGGCTTAGTAAATGTTTGCTGACTGAATAATATATGGTTTTGCTTAGTATCTAAATTCCCACTATGTATGTTTGAGGCATAATGGGGAAGACATCCTGTAGATGCCTTGAATGGTTCTGTAGGAAGTAAGGTAAAGCTTACTTTAGTACAATCAATTCTCATGAACATTAGCCAATCACAATGCCTGCCTTTTGAAAATATCAGAGAGACAGGCAAAAAAGAAGTCAAGTTCGGCAGGGGGTCAGAGCTAAGAAGGACCAAGTGGCTGTTAGAAAATCAGGCATCATTTTATAGTGTGGGGGTTCTAAAGCAAGGATTTGGATTTTGTGAGAAAAATTGGCAGAAAAGATGACAGACAGACACTAGGAAATGAATATAGCACCAATAAAATCCAATCCATCTAACTGGAATCTGGCCATCCAGTGACTTCATTAAACTAATTCTGTGGTCACTTTGTTGGCCATTCAACCGCTCTTTGCCCCACTCTTCTACCTACCAACTCGCCCAAATCCCATTTCTTCCCATCTAACTCCCTATTCTTTTTTCCAAAAAGGGTCAAACCTAGTCTTTTGGAACTATCTGCGTGCAAATAAAGTATTCCAATTTAGTAAAAATTACGGGAAAGATGTAATTTTACTGTATATTTAAAAAATAAGTACATATACACATGCAGAGAGCAATCTTTAGTGAACTGGCAATGAATCATGTGAAGCAGGACAGGAACCATAGGTTTGACCTACCCTGTAAATGGAGATTGGGCCTACCAAGGTACAATGCAGTACATGCACACTGTTTACTCAGCACTCACACAGAGCTCATTAGCACATACAACAAGGTGCTCAGCTCCTCTGGGCTTACAGGTTAACTCAAGCCCAGAAAGTGTTCTGTGTGACAGAGCAAGACTGCCTCAAAAACCAAACAAACAAACAAAAACAAAAAACCCATATTCTTGGACTAGAGGTTGTTGTTTAATATAAATAAATAAAATGGGGTAAGGCAGTGATTTACAGTTTATGTCATGTGAGCAGAAGGTATGAAATAAAGGGGAAGGAAGACCTGGAGATTTTTTTTTGCACCCAGCACTCACACTGAGCTCATTAGCACATACAACAAGGTGCTCGGCTCCTCTGGGCTCATAGGTTAACTCAAAGTCAGTAACTGCGGAGGTGAATCTCACATGTCAAGCAGCTGTAAGCCTTTTTAAAAGTTATAAATATGACCAAATGGCTCTTACCCCTGTTAAAAACATATTAGAAGAGTTCATTAATCTAGTAGTTAATCTGGAATAATGATCTGCCGGAAAAAATGGAAAAAGCCATTCCTCTAACTAAAGCAACTGCCTCTTGTTCCTCTGGGACTGGGAAAGTCCACCGAAGCACATCATGGACTATTGCTCTTCTTGAGTTTATCTTTGGAAAGTGTTCTGATGTTTGCTTTTGACTCTTCCCACATATTTAAAAAAAAAAAAAAAAGCAACATAATGGCTTAATCCAACTTCTCTTACTGATAGAATTAATTTATGCAAAAAGACCCACACTTAGAAAGTTTCTAACAATGTGCACAGACTAAATCTCAGAAATAGTTCTTAAAATGGGGTAAGGATAGCCAGGCATGGTGGGACATGCCTGTAGCCCCAGCTACTTGGGAGGCTGGGGTGGGAGGATCACTTGAGCCCCGGAGGTCAAGGCTGCAGTGGGCCAAGACTGGGTCACTGCACTCCAGCCTGTGTGACAGAGCAAGACTGCCTCAAAAAACAAACAAACAAAAACAAAAAACTCATATTCTTGGACTAGAGGTTGTTGTTTAATATAAATAAATAAAATGGGGTAAGGCAGTGATTTATAGTTTATGTCATGTGGGCAGAAGGTATGAAATAAAGGGGAAGGAAGACCTGGAGATTTTTTTTGCAGCCACAGAACCTTGTATCACGGCATGCATATTGAATCTGAACACAATTTGCTTCTGTGTTCCATCAAAATGGTACTCATTTTATTCTATGCCTTCAAGAGATAACACTACCCTGAGAACAGCCTCATTGAGTCCTAGGGCTGCCTTCAGAGTGAGTCTGGGTGGAACCCACAGCACAGCCAACCCTACAGCAAATCCCAACTTTCTCTTCTCTTCTCCAGAGCTGGTCTAGAAGCACATCAGGCCTGAGATCCGGTTCTAGCTTGTCCACCATTTGCATGTAATGCTTTTTTTTTAAGTGTTAACATAAATAAGCTTCTAGTTTTCAAAAAAGTCTGTGTACAAAGGACCATCTCCCAGCACACTATGCACTAGTAAGGCTATCATCATAGGAGGCTTTCTTTTTTAGCAAAGTAGAACATGCATAAAGAACAGATGATGTCATCTGGAGAAGCTGCTCCCACTGCCTGATCTCCATGGATGGAACCAGTTATTAAGATTCAAGAGAGCTTGTCCAGGTTTCTTATTCTACTCCCAAGTAGACAAGAGTGTTCATAAATGGTTACCTCCTTGCTGAGGGCAAAGGTCCAATGGTGCTTGCTATAGGACAACTAAACTGACAGCAACGTGGCCCCAAGATGCAACGAGAGGGTAGAGAGATCCCGGGATTATCAGAACAGAAGAAAAGGCAAGAGCAACATACAAAAATTTTATTTGATGGGGCAAGATACTGAGGTTGGGTGGTTAATGATAGTTACTGTCCTCCCTTGCAGGCTGTGTGGCAGAATGAAAAGAGCAGGATTCTCTCCCCAGCCTCACTTGCTATTAGGCTCGATGACCTTGAGCAGTTTCCTCATGTGTAAAATAGGGATAATGATACCTACCTGCCTGGGGTGCTATGAAGATGAAAAGGACAACTTGTATAAGGTGCCTAATCTAATGCCTAACATTCAATAAATGTTAGCCTTCCATTCCACACCCTTTCCTTCTCCCACTCCCTCCCAACTGCTGCAACTCACATTTTCTCTTCCATTTGGTCAAAATAACTTGGAAAACTTCACCTTGGTATACCCAAACACCACTGACCTCCACAGAGCCACCCACCATCAGTTCTCATGGTAACAGACCCAGAGGCTGAGTCAGCCTCTACAGCTTCCGTTCTCCCCATCAAAAGGACAAGTTTTCTCTGGAGGTTGTACAACTTTGATGAAAAAACTGTCACGGGAACAGGCAGTACAGAGAGAACATTTCACATGCTGTCTCAGGCATCAGAAAGTTGCTGTTTCATAGCCTTCAACATTGCAGGGGATGCTGCAGAGATTTCACAAAGGCTTTTGAGCCAAATGTGGCTTCTCATTAAAGCTATACTGGACATGAGCCTTCCTCTAATGAAACTGAGCATCAACACTGATAATCAGAAAACCATGGCCAGGTGTGGGTCCAACTCCTAACACTCCTAACACACCAGCTAGTCCCCAAGGGAAGAAGGAAAGCAGGACACCACACAACGGTCATGTGGGGAGCCGGAGGTGAGGTGTAGAGAAAGGAAGAGCTGAAATAAGGTAAACTGGATAGAGTGGGTCATCCAAAATGCCTCTTCCTTCCTTTCCACTTCAGCTGGGCTTTTACATAACTTTGATGTTATGAACTCCAGAGTATGTCACAGGTGTGTTCCTGTTTTCCCTCTTGTTTAGATGAAAACGCCAGGCAGAAATGGGTATAATTAGAATAGAAACAGTAAATTTTGGAAATGGGATAAAAATAGGGTTTTATAGCCAAACTGAGTTTTTAAAACTATTTGTATTTTATTTTCTCTTTAAGTTTTGTATATATTTGTATTTCCAGGCAGTTGTCAAGAATCAACGCACTGAATTGAGTACATCACATTCTCAAAGAACAGGTAATTTGTTAATATTTATATTGGAATTCACGGTGTTCAAAGCACTATCCCCTATGTGGGCAATTAGATCCTAATGATATCCCTATAAGGTAGTACAGGTATTAGTATCCCCACTTATATTTACCAGATGAGGAAATTGAGGCTAAAGGAAATCAAGTGATTTTTCCCCAAGGTCGTACAGCTAGTGAGAAAGAGTTAGGACACAGAGCCAGGTCTTCCCACACCAGGCTGCCCCTCACCAATTTCCCTGATTACACAGCACAGCAGTTCTTACCTTCCAGCTCTTCTTTTTCATAGTGAATGTTGAGAATTGTACTGGTCCCACCCTGATCCACCACAGCTTCTTCATCTGGTCTCTGTTTAAACACAAATAAGTAGTCACAGTAATACACATACCTCATTGAAATATACAAATCTTGTGTATGCCAGATCCTTTTGAGATACTTATGGGGAAAATACAATGGTTTACATGCATTTTTACATCTGAACTTCACAGTACCTTTTAGATGCAAATATGGCAGCCATTCTCTCTCTCATTTTATAAATGAGCAGACTGAGACTCAGAGAACATTAAGTAATGATGACGCAGGGTCACAAATGTCATAAAAGGCAGACCTAGGACTGAGCCTAGGTCTTTTAAAAAAAAAAAAAAGAGAGAGAGAGAGAATGGGTCAACCAGGCTATATTGCAGTGATACAATCATAGCTCACTGCAGCCTTGAACTCCTGGGCTCAAGCAATTCTCCTACCTCAGCCTCCAGAGCAGCTGGGATTACTAGGACATGTCATGAGCCCAGGTCTTCTGGCTGTAAAACTCATGCCTTTTCCACATCCACACTCCATCTATACCTCTGTGTAACATGCTGGCATTTTGCAAGTGCTATGAAGCAGGTTGTCCCATTTGCTGTAGATTGGTCTCCTTGGCCTCTTTGCAGCATTTGAGCCTGTTTACCACACCCTGTCCTTGAAATTCTCCATCCTGCTCCTCTTACCAGGCCTCCTCTGTCTCATCCTTAAGCCTTTTCTTCCTCTAACCGTAATTTCCAAGAAAGAGCTCTCTCTTCTTTGTTTTCCTCGCTTGAGACTTACAATTTCAACTGCAATCTGAAACTGTGGTTCAGTAATTGATAAGCCACTAGGATGCCACACCTCAAGAACCATGTGTCTAAAACCCAACTAACTTTCCTTCCAAAACTAACACCCTGTGCTCATTTATTTATTCCTGCCAATGGCATCATCATTTATTAGCCCACAGGTGAAGTTTCAAAGTTACTTATTCATCCATTCCACATGTTTTGAGTGCCTACCATATGCCTTCAGGTAGCTAGTTCCCTTTTCTTACCAAGTCTTTCTTCCTTTGCAATTTCTCTAAAAAATTAACTTTCTTCTCTCATCCACTCTTCACTACATGCTCCAACCCTTTAAATCATATTAGGCTTTTTTTTTTTTTTTTTTTTAGTGGAACCACACCCACCTTCTTTACTTAGTGCTGCTCTCTCTTCCTGGAACTACCATTCTCTCCCTGTCACTCCCACCACCTGCCATCACCTTTGAGAATGATCAAAAAGATCATCCTCTCTTTGATCTCAGCCTCAACACACTTACGTAGAAGCCTTTCCTGATTACGCACCCCTACTTCCAAACTAAGCTAGGTTCCCCATTTATATACCCTCACAGCACACTGCAATTCTCTTAGTAATAAAATGTCTTGGCCGGGTGTGGTGGCTCACACCTGTAATCCCAACACTTTGGGAGGCCAATGCAGGTGGATCACCTGAGGTCAGGAGTTCAAGACTGGCCTGAACAACATGGTGAAACCCCGTCTCTACTAAAAATAAGAAAATTATCTGGGTGTGGCGGTGCATGCCTATAGTCCCAGCTACTCAGGAGGCTGAGGCAGGAGAATCACTTGAACCGGAGAGGCAGAAGTTGCAGTGAGCTGATATCATACCATTGTACTCCAGCATGGGCAACAGAGTGAGACTCTGTCTCAAAAAAAAAAAAAAAAGTCTCCTCTGTTCCTTGAGGAAGGAACTACATCCATCTTCCTTGCCACTGTATCCTAGCACCCAGCACAGACTTTTCACATAATAGGTGCTCAATAAATCTTTGTTAAAAGACCGAATACACAATTCTCAAAAGACAAACAAATAGTTAACAAATATATGAAAAAACGCTCAACGTCACTTATCATCAGGGAAATGCAAATCGAAACTACAATGAGGTATCATCTCACTCCAGTTAGGATGGCTATTATCAAAAAGACAAAATATAACAAATGCCGGCGAGGATGTGAAGAAGAAACAACCCTTATACACTGTTGGTGGGAATATAAACTAGTACAGCCACTGTGGAGAACAGTGGAGGTTCCTCAAAAAAACTACAAATAGAACTACCATATAATCCAGTAATCTCACTACTAGGCATTTATCCAAAGGAAAGGAAATCACTACATTAAAGAGATATCTGCATCCCCATGTTTATCGCAGCATTATTCATAATAGCCAAGATACGAAATCATCCTAGGTGTCCAACAACAGATTAATGGATAAAGAAAATGTGGCATGGTCGGGCGCAGTGGCTCAAGCCTGTAATCCCAGTACTTTGGGAGGCCGAGGCAGGCGGATCACGAGGTCAGGGGATCGAGACCATCCCGGCTAACACGGTGAAACCCCGTCTCTACTAAAAAAATACAAAAAAACTAGCCGGGCGAGGTGGCGGGCGCCTGCAGTCCCAGCTACTCGGGAGGCTGAGGCAGGAGAATGGCGTAAACCCGGGAGGCGGAGCTTGCAGTGAGCCGAGATCCGGCCACCGCACTCCAGCCTGGGCGACAGAGCAAGACTCCGTCTCAAAAAAAAAAAAAAAAAAAAAAAAAAAAAAAGAAAATGTGGCATATATACACAATGGAATACTATTCAGCCATAAAAAGGATAAAATCCTGTCATTTGAGGCAATATGGATGGAACTGAAGGACATTATGTTAAGTGAAGCCAGTCGGGAACAGAAAGTTAAACACTGCATGTTCTCACTCATATGTGGAAGCTAAAAAAAGTTGATCTCATAGAAATAAGAAGTATAACAGAGAATATTAGAGACTGGGAAGGCAAGGGGGAAGAGGGAAGGGAGAGATTTGCTAAAGGATAAAAAATTACAACTGTATAGGAAGAGTAAGTTCTAGTGTTCTATACTACACTAGGATGACTATAATATAGAGTTTCAAACAGCTAGAAGGAAGATATTGAGTAACCTCAACACAAAGAAATAATAAATGTTTTAAATGATAGATATGCTAATTACTCTGATCTGATCACTATACATTAAATGTATTGAAACATCACTATGCACCCCAATGAATATCTACAATATTACTGAAATATTACTTGTTAATTTCAAAATAAAATTTAAACGTTTTAAAAGAATGAATATAATGGCACCTATCCTATCAATACCCTGAATCACAAGACCCTGAATTATTTCAAAAAAACTCTTAGCTGATTTCCCTGGCAATCTATTTCCCTTCTCAAACCTGCAACTCCAGCCAAGCTGACTGATCCCGAGAACACTGTGCACATTCCCACCTTCATGCCTTTGCTCATATTGTCAGGTCATCTAGTCATCTAACATCCCACTTCCCCAAACTCTCCAGCACATTAAATTCCCACCTCTCCTGTATTAGTCCGTTTACGTTGCTATAATGGAATACCTGAGACTGGGTAATTTATTAAGAAAATAGGTTTATCTTGGCTCACAGTTCTGCAGGTTGTACAGGAAGTGTGGTGCTAGCATCTGCTTCTGGTGAGAGTCAGGAAGCTCACAATCATGGCAGAAGGCAAAAGGGAAGCTGGCATATAACATGGAAAGACAGGGGACAAGAGAGAGGGGAGGGCCCAGACTTTTAAACAACCAGATCTTGTGTGAACTCAGAGCAAGAACTCATTCATTACTGTGAGGATGGCACCAAGACATTCATGAGGCATCTGACCCCATGACTCAAACATCTCCCACCAGACCCCGTCTCCAACATTGGGGGATTACATTTTAACATATTTGGTGGGGACAAATAGCCAAACAATATCACCTTCCTTCTAGAACCCCCTCAAGTTTCCAGCTTACTGTTCCAAAGTTACTATTTTGTAGTTATCATCTATGCTCCCAAATAAGACAACTCTGAACATAAGGCAATCCATTTTCCCAATGGGAAGATTCAAATACAGTTTTTGAGGCCAACTGGAATAAACAAATTTTTAGGGAAGTAAATAAAATAGTCTAATATCTACTTAGGAAATTTTATTTATTAAATTAGCTTTATAGACACTTAAAATTATATATTATTACTACCATGGAAAAATGGAGACTCCACAATATAACGTTAAGTTTAAAAAGCAAGATGGAGAAAACTGTATGATTTGCTACCTTTTATCTAAGAAAGGGTGTTGGAACATAAGTGTTTGCTTACATTTTAAAACAAATAGGCCGACCACGGCGGCTCATGCCTATAATCTCAGCACTCTGGGAGCCCAAGGCAGGTGGATCACTTGAGGTCAGGAGTTCAAGACCAGCCTTGCCAACATGGTGAAACCCCATCTCTACTAAAAATACAAAAATTAGCCGGGTATGGTGGTGCACGCCTATAATCCCAGCTACTTGGGAGGCTAAGGCAGGAGAATCGCTTGAACCTAGGAGGCAGAGGTTGCAGTGAGCCAAGATTACGCCACTGCACTCCAGCCTGGATGACAGCGCGAGACTCCATCTCAAATAAATAAATAAATAAATAAATAACAAATAAAAGAAGAAAAAGTCACAAAAGATTTTTTTACATAGTTACCTAGAGAGGAAGGAGAGAATAAGATGCAAGAGACAAAGATAGAAGCTAGACTTTTTTGAATATACCTTATTTTGTAAATAATTTACATAACGTAAAATTAAAAATTTTAAAGTAATTCCCCAAAATCAAAAACAAAATGAAAACAAAGGTCAAATTGATAGTGTAAATTCCAAGAGAAATTAATCTAAGTAACATTAAAACATAATAAACTGACTGAACATCCTTAGTGGCATATACTCGAAGGACAAAGAAGAATTTTAAAAGATCTCAAACTGCTTTTGGTTATCTTATTTTTGGTTGTAGTGCTGGTGTTGGTATTCTGAGGCTTGTTGTGTGTTGTGAGATAAAACAAACAAGTAGCTATGTGAACTTATTCTGTCACTTCCAATGCGGCTGAGGACTGGGATTCTTGGCAAGGGAGAAAGGAGATACAGTTTTAAGACAAAAGGTAAATAAGAGCCATGCAGTCCTAAATTTGAATTGGAAGTATCAACAATAATATATAATGTGTTTTTATTTTTAATGTTTTTAA